ATACAACATATTTGAATATAATGAAAGACGCTGACACGTCTAAAGGTGTGTACATGTTAGGTGATAAAAACAAACCGATTTCAAGCTTCTGATTTCGACATTGAGCTTGTCTATAAGTGTTTTGAGGCTTTCAATATGTTTCTCATCTGAAGCAATTTTCGTCTTCAGCTCTGTCAGGTCCTGTGAAAATACAAGCGTTAAATAGTCTGATGCACTTTCTCTCAATATGACAAAACATATTTATGACGATTGAGGCAAATTTGCTTTGGATCAACCCGTAGTTGGTCAGTTTGTTGGTCAGTGTGCACACAAGCTTTCATGCTATTCCACCACTGATTGTACTCACCATTTTGTGTTTCATTGCCAAGTCTGCCATAAAGTCATCGTCAGTCTGAGTATCCTTTTCTGAAACAACAGACGAATAACTCCTGACGATTAACACCGGGAACGTGTTATGTGCAGTCTACAAACATTAAATCTTCAGAAACAAAGCATGAGTCTTAAATAGAGAAACACATGAAGAAAAAAGAGGGTCTGTAAACGAAATAGAAGGTCACAAGAACTTGCAAACATTGTACGCATACAAAGAATAAATAAAACTACAATGATGTTCAATGTGTATACCTTTTACAGATTCCTCATCCACTTCCCTTGGCAAAATGGCGCCAAACACTGATATGTTTGATTTCAGTGTTGACAAGCTGTTGCTGATGAAGACAGCTGTAGGTACGACATGTGTTTGAGGGGCAGCAGTTTCTAGATAGATCCGAGTTATGTCCCCTACATAACTCTCCAGTTCCACGAGGTCTGACTTGGAGGCATAGAGGAGGACTTTGGCAATGTAGTCTAAAACCCCAGTGCATGTCTTCCATTCTTCTTCACAGGTGGTGAGTTGAGCATGTAGAGTTGCCTTGGTCTCCTTCGTCTGACTTTCAAGATCGATCAGAAGTTCCTTCTCTCTTTGGTCGAGTTGTGATTTCAGAGATTGGAATGTGTGGCCAATAGTTTCTTTCAAAGTGTTGTGTGTTCTGTCGGTGGATTCGGTTCCCTGTCTGATGCTGTGCATGTGTGATTGCTGGCGAGCCTGTAACGCTGACAGCTCATCCGTATTATGATTCAACTGTTTTGTTACAGTATCAGCAACCACATCCAGTTCCACAACCTCATGGTCTGCGTGGTCATCAAACCTACATTTCACACAGATTAACTTTTTGCAGCTTTTATCAAACAGATAAAGAAGATGGTGTTTGTGGATACTGCAGAAGGCTGGAATGTTCGAGACAGTCGGTTCCATGTCACTGAAGTTTTGAAGTACATGTTTCCTGGTAAGTTTGACGCTGCTGTGCATGTTCTGGCAGTATTCACAGAGGAAGTCTTCACACTCCTGACACCCACACACAGCCTGGTTCCCGTCATCTTCATTTGTACAGAGAATCTCTGTTGGACGATGTTTGACTGTCAGGTGGAACATTTCCTTTTGTCTCACTGCATCCGTTTGGAGACGAGTGTCTGTGAGGTTGACCTTCCTGTGACATGTAGAGCATGATATCACACCACCAGCTGCAGATGTCACACACGTCTCACACACAGCGTGTAGACAGGGCAGTAAGTAGGGGGCTGGACCTTTCAGGGTAAACTGCTGCTGACAGACACAACACTTCGGGAAGGTGTCCATTCTGAAAGACAGAAAACTTAAATGAGGGACGAAGAGGTGTTTCGAATCAAGGTAGTGGCACGTATCAATCTATTGTTCATCTATGGCGGCACATCTCAGTATGATATAAAACATGCACACAAATACTCACAGTCAGCCTATAGTATATTTGGCACCATGCCATCATAACAAGGCCTGTTTACAGCACAACACAGACACGAGTTACTTAAAAAGATCAAATGTATAGTAAAAGAAATATTACAAAGCTTTCCCTGATTGTTAACATGAATAAAAATTAAACATTTGCAATATTTGAAATATCAAGGACCCGTATATAGGTCTTGAGCAACCAAGGCGTGTTGTAAGAGGCGACTATTGGGACGGGGTGGTCAGGCTCACTGACTGGGATAATTCATGTCATCGTAGTCCGGCTGCGTAGATCGATAGGGACTACTTTCAGTGTTTATAAACAAACATGTCGTCGCTAGTGTCATTCGGCAATCGAGTCAGAATTAATCATCGGGAATCTGGATAAACTAAAGAGATACTTGCTATGATTATCAAAAGAACAGTCTAATATACTTAAATCAGTGTCTGGCTGTGGCGTAGCTAAGACATTTTATAAGTTTATCAACTTTGAAGATATAAATTCCGAAACTATTTCGCGAGGGCACTAGGCCTAGCCAAGCGGGATCAGTAGCCATATCTGTGTGTGTAGACCTCTGCGGCTTGAAACCTTTTTCCACAAATTAAAATAGTTGGATTTGGCCCAAATACGTTTGAATTGTTACCTTCTTTAGTTTTGACGCTGTGTGTACGTCTGATTGCACTTTCTAAAGTTATGACAGGACAGACCGACTGTCAACAGCGTCTGAACGTGAACGTGACGTCTCGTAGACTATGGTTAAAGTAGCTTCCCTTTGACAAAGGGCAGTAACTCCAGCGGGCAAACCGATGGATTGCCGCGAAATGCAAGTAAAAACATTTGTTGTTTTGCGTATATTAGTATGTTGCTTCAACACTGTATAAGAAACAGATTTCAGTTGGAAATATATTGGCCAGTGTCACTGTTCGACTGACACGTCACTTACCCTGTGACGTACTAAATATTAATGCGTGCATTCCAGGAAAACTCACAATGTTTAGGTAATGTTTGTAAGAGAGGGAAAGAGATTTTCAAGCACAGAATTAGAGAATGACATTATATGATGAAGAGGTTTATCACGCTTGTGTGTTTGGGGATGGTAAATATCCTGTATTAGGAATAAACACTATGTATTAAGCTCGACAAGGCTTGCTAAATACAACCTTTAGTCCTTATGCAGGATATTTACCATCCCCAAACACACTCGCGTGATAACCTCTATATGTTGGGAATTTTAACAACTATGTCTCTTTCTTTTATGTACCACGGATGGCTCTGTAGTAACAGTAAAACTAGATGTAGCATGATGTATATATGTCGTTTTCAATGTTTGACATGGCAAGTTTACAAAAAGCCTAAATATTTCAACATATAAAAATCGCATAATTCTCAACTGCTGATGGGTATCTTAGACATCGTTTCTTTTAAAATAAAAAAATATTTGATATTTTGGAACAAATGTACAACATGTCAAACACCGTAGCAGTCATGTTGTTGCAAATTCATTTCCCCAGTCTTCATTGAACCAGTTTTTTTTGTTTACCCAGCCACAGATTACCTCTTAGACACTGTTGCAGGAATGAGCGATAGTTCAAAAGAGATAATCAAATTTAGCAACAGTTCTTTCAATTTCCAATTCCATTGAAAACAAACTTGATGTGCTTTATTTTGCCCCTCAGTATATATAGTCAAGCAGCTATTCATGTTACATCGTCATACATAAGTACACAGGTAAATGCTACATGTTTTTATAGAAAGGAGGTGAAGATATCTTGGATCTATGCTTTTTTCAAATTTTGGTTACATAATTTCAGTGAGTATATGCCCGCAGCTTACAACTGATTACTTTGGTAATTCGCTTACTAGCGTTGTTTACTGCGTAGTGCATTGTGAATGTGAAGATATTGATTAAATTTATCATAACGAGTCACATACTGTACTTGACATGGCCCAAGTCAGACTTGAACAGTGAAACCCTGTTAGTCCGGATACTGAACAATTTAGGACTTTCAAGTATACAAATAAGAGGTATCTCTACTCTACAGTGGGACTACATGAAAGTTTATAACACAGAAGTTTTATCTCTATTCTACAAAGACGACAAGAGCGCTTTGAAAACGGTGCTTTCTTGGAACAGCTAACTACACATGGCAGAAAGGCCTGCCAACTTAGAACATACCGAAAAGAGGTCACAAGTAGTTATAACTATAACAACAGGTATTACTAAATTTTATGTTTTAGGCTTTAAAACAGTTTTTCAAAAGAAAAATATGTTGAATATTTGCACTGTTTGGACTCACCAATTCATTTTTTCAACTGACGTCACATTCCATATCTTGGAAGTCAGCGCGACATGTCAAGTCTCTTTGAAGAGTGAAAAGAGATATAATATTTTCGTTTAGCGAAATACATTAATGACCATAAAATCCATTTATCAATATAAATGCATCAAAGACCATTGATAGGCTGCAGCAATTTGAAGAGATTGAATACGATTATATTTGCTATTATGTCTATCTGAATAAATACTTTGGATTGAAATCTCCTTGATATTTAGTGCAAACATTGTGAATTCTATGAAATAGTATCATGCCACTTGTCAGCTCGACCTACTGATATCAATGTCATCAGATCAGGTTAATCTTACCGACGCCTACTATTGATAGTTGTACACATTGTATAACCAAAGTCTGACTACTTATTTAATTGAAGAGCGTCAGTGGTGTTTAATAGCGATGTACATTTTGCATGCATCAAGCTTCTCATTTCCCTGTTCACTAAAGTGCACATTACTATATTGAAGATATTGATATATAGTAATGCTAAATGTTCAGCCAAATAGATTATAATTCACACCCTTAGTGAATCAGAGAATCCCTTTGTGTAGATTTTCCGTGAGAAGCATAACATCACCAAAAGACCAACTTTACTGCACGTATGTCTAAAAACAAACAGTAAAGAAACTACCAACAGCACTTTCATTGTTCTCAACGGCAAAAAACTGGCCCCTAGAATCCATGTAGGTGAGGAGTTTGTTGTGTGCTGGTCGCTTATTGAATCAAGTGGACAGATGTCATATTCAAAATGCCCCCCCCCCCCCCCCCCCCCCCCTTTCATAAGTTGTTCATATTGACGATAGTTGAAACATTTCGGTTTTGAACTTGTTTTACTCTTATTTGAATGAGTGAAGAATATCCCTACCTTACTGAACCACACGAAGCATGTCCCAACCTTCTCGGAGAACTGAATTACTGGGGTAAAGCAGAACCAACAGGTGTCCTTTACAGAAAGTGTAATTCTGCCACAGTGTATCTCTGGACGACATGTAAACACCACCAACAACAACCGCACAATATAATTTGTTATGGCATATTTTTCTATGTACTACCTTACGTTCTCATGGCCTGAGTGTATGGTCATGGTAATTCAGGCTCAAGTGTATTATGTCTGTATGAATACTCACGATCTTAATACGACTATAACATTGTGTCCTACGCAAGGCTGGATCAAAGGTTTTTGATTCACTCGTGTTGAATTACCCAACTGTTAGAATAGCGTATTATCAATGCAAGTATAGTATTTAGTTGTCAGGTTTCGTGACTTCGTTAATAGCATGTCATCGTTCCCCGAATGGCGTGGACTGTTGCTCGATCAGGTCCAATTATTTACAAGCCGTCGTCATGTAACTGGGATAGCAAACACCACACACAGAAATAAAATACAATCAGGGACACTCTCACGTGTGGGCATGCACATCGCCATGGCAATAATTTTGGACTAGATGTTACACACTATTTCACCTCATTTAATAAAGTATAACACTGCTTTGTACCCATGACTGTAATCCAAACGGTTTACCACTTTCATTTCAAGAGAATACATAATTGTTAGAATGAATGTTTGAAATACTAGTCGTAATTACATATTCAGCAATATCCAAGCATTGCGTTGAAAGGAAAAGAATGTCCTTATTTGAAAAGTTTCTGTCCATAGGTATTGCCTCGACTTGTCAATTTGTCCGCTATGTTTGACGCAATTTGAGTTTCCATGTTCATCTTTATAAGACACTGCTACAGAGGTTAGAATCGTTTGCACGAATGCTTGAACAAATAGAACTAGCGTTCTAATATTATTGCCTGTTATGAATTATCTGGTCTTAAGTAAGCACTTATATATCTAAGTTCTTTTGACAACCTGTATGTGAAACCAGACATTATACCACTTGAGAGTGTTCTGCAAGACATCGGTGGACATCGCATATTGCACGCAATACACATTAGTTCTCACATTTATGTTCCGAATGCAGTGCTTTTAAACGAGGTATAAAGGATGTATTCTGACTATCTAAAAAATGGCAATTTAAACGTTTCAATAGGGTAATAACAGTCGGCCGAGTAAGACGAAAGCAATACTACATTTGTCGCATAGGACACAATAAGTGCTACCAAATGGCTATAACGATGGGGTTTGATATAACAAACATGTAGATGTATCGAGGACACACACACACACACACACACACACACACACACACACACACACACACACACACACACACACACACACACACACACACACTCTCTCTCTCTCTCTCTCTCTCTACCCGTGCGGCATATTTGTCAGTCCTACGACAAGCAGGGACTACCAATGATCAGGTGTGTGTTGAGGACATGTGTGTCCTGCCTCTCATTTTAAGTAAAACCTGTGTAAATCTGTGAGTAAATTTATAGTGACTTCAGGTAATTATTGCTCCAGTGTGGTTGTGTTGGTCTTGTGGTATGTATATATTCGTGTAGAAATGTTTTGGGTTTGAGGCTTACCAATACATCTTCATTACTACACAGTTCTGTGATCTCCCACCCTGCGTCATTACGTCATAAGAAAAGGGAAGGTGTAGGTGTTCCAATCGTCTAAGGCGCTGTAATTTGCTGTGCTTGTGTAATTTCCCTCAGGCATGTTAGAAACATGTGATCAGGAAATGGTATTCGTGACTATGTAACATGACTTGTGCTCTCACCAAAGATACCCTCACCTTGTTATGTCGTTTTCTTCCTAAAAGTAATTTTGCCTTATTGTTTCCTGTGCCCAGTACACAGGACCAAGTGCCACTTTGTGGCTGAAGTTCCCATTGTTATGTAATGACATAAATGATAAACTTTATATCAGCAGTGAGCATTATGTTCGTATATATGCGTACTTCTCTAGGAAATGTCTATCATTATGTTACATAGTAACCGTAGTAAAATCTGATATACACAGGTGTAGTTTTGACTTCCACCTCCAAGAATTCGAGAAACCAAGACAAAGCAAATCTAAAATGAAAACACTAAATTTAAAGGCTCTGAAAATGTCCAATGGTAAGACAAATAAAATTAATCCAGCTTTTAAAAAAATAAGACATAGAAACGTAAGGAAAGAAACCTAATTTAAAAAAAAACAAAAAAAACTTGCCTACCTGTTTTACCGATTGGTCAGTGGAGACGAGAAAATACCCGTAGACGGAATTACTATTCCGGTTTCTGAGTTGGCCGACCTTCTCCGTGCATTCTAGGCACACATGAAGAAGGACGGGCACAGAAATGAAGCTGGCATCAGGTCATACAGTAGGTCCATCTCAGGTGACAAGAAACACCAGCCAAGTAAAGTATTACAGCACACACAACAAATCACCAACTCAAAATATAACACACTCTGACACAAAACACACAAGTTTCAGATCACTCTGTTCAGTCACCACCAGTTCATTCAACATCGTCCGAATTGGTTTGCGATTATCCAAACACAAGCAACACATTCATAAATCAGTGATATTTAAAGTTTGCTAGTGCCATTGGAGGGGTCTTCATGGGCGTTTTCCATAACTGTTCCATAAACTTCATTTTCAACAGCAGTAAGTATAAATTTCAACCTGATGACCCCGTTCATGCACCTAATACAAACTAATGTGACGTCACATATAAATCCACACCTGATGGTTGACCTGGCCTCGGTGCATCGAGTCATGTTTATATTTTGTTCACTTTCCTGTTACCTATTTTTAATATTTGATTTATCCCAAAAATCGTTTGTCAATGTGTCCAGAGAATAAACTTATGTTGATGTTGACATATTCTCAGATTATGCAGTATATATTCATAGAATTATTCAAATATAAGCAAACATTGTTACGATATTATTCGGCGAGACCAATAAACTACAAAATATGAAACTATAAGAAGTGAAACTTGGAGGTTCACACAGTTTAACCAGCGCTTTTAAATCGTTCACACTTCAATGAACCCATCCAAACTGACGTTCAATTCTCATTTATTCATGCTCATTGGCTACTTCAGGCGAATTGTTCCACTGGTTTCATTGTTTGGGAAGAGGCCTCAAGCAATGCGCCGTCAAATGAATGCATTGTCTCAAAAAATTGAACATGACGTTATTCATTGGTCAATATGTCTCTAAAGATTGAATATTGACGTCGTTCCAATTGCAACATTGAGCTTATTGAGATCCTTACTTACATTTTGTCGCAAAAAGACTATGGGTAATATATAGAGTATTCATCACGAGTGTTTTCATAACATGGGAAATATCAACCAAGTCTTTGTTAATGAGTATTTGACGAGCCTCTGGCGAGGTTGATATTACCAGTATTAAGAGTGGTGAATTATATTTATCATTTCGACCTTAAAGGTTTACCCATTTAAAAAGAAATATACTGAAATTGATACATATTGATAGACATTGACAGGATTGATGAGACAGAAGCAAAACTCCCATAACTGGTCGCATTGCCTGAAACAGATATTTTAAATGATTGCTTATATGTGGGGATGTTACAGGACGGGGCTTGTGTGGGGAACAAGATGCTGGCACTGGCAATATTCACAAGGAATCAACACTACAACCCTTCAGCCCATGTGAATTCCCAAATGAAGAAGTACCTGATCATATTGTCAGGATACTTTGCTAGACTTTGTTCCAATAACAGTTTAAGTTCTATGCTTTAAGTGTACCTTTCAGTATGGCTTTTACATGGAGTATATCTGAGATTTCAATGAGGGACATCCCCTGGTCATCAATCAAACATACTGACATTTTAGAGTAAAGTTGTCCTTGGCAGTCTTCATGTAAAAGACACGATGAGGTTTAGCATATTTGAAAAATTATCATGGTATCCAAAACAGTAGCAACTGGGTCATTGCAGGACCAATTACTGGGAAAGTCACTTTACTCGTGGACCCATTCATAGACGCCCTATATGACACTCCATGAGACAGTCTATGATCTAAATGCCATTGATAAGACAATGTATAAGACACTCCTTTGAAGAGTCAATTACAGACGCTAAGCGTGGTCAGTCGTTTCGTTTTATTGTCCGTTATGCGTGCAAGGATCCTATGATCGAGGGAATAATTCCCATATTCGCCCTGATAATATTTCTCGGTTTTTCAGCACCATATGCGAACTCGTAGGTTTCAATAAGCTGGTAAACTTCTAAGACCTGCATCACTTCAAGTTTTCCTCAATTGCCATGATATAACCCAGTTACTCTTCCAAGCGTTGATGGAGGATCAGCGGGCCCAAGTCATGTAGAAGTCCTCGCAAATTTGACCCACGTCATTCACATTCGATTGTGTTTGCCTGTTAACTCAAGTGTTATGTTATAGATCAATCTAAGAGTTATTAAAATACCTTTATTACACAAAGATAATGTTTCAGTTTCACAGGAGACATTCATTGAAATGCCAGGAAAAGAACAATCATAAAGGAAACTGCACATTTTTTAACTTGCAATTACAAAAATGCCAACAACTAAAATATAGCAAAATACAATCACATGTTATGCTACTCGAACATATTATTGTAGAGACACATGCATATCACTTGTGTACAAGAAGCAGGTGTACAACAATTCCGGAAAGTTGACCATTATTTCTGCTCGAGGCGGTGGGGTAGCAAAGCGGTTTAATCATTCACTCATTACGCCCCAGGTCCGGATACCTTGGAACAGTGTAGTTTTGGTGCCAGTTTCTCAACAGTCTGAAGCATAGTGATTATTGTCAAGAATTTTCTGCAACAAAATCCAATTCTCTGACCCAAGACAACCTATGCTTGTCTTCAGAGATGACAAACGGGATTTGATGATCAGGCTCAGTGACCTGGTTGATGCATGTCACGGTTTCACAGTTGTGTAAATCGATGATGTTAATAACTGGATTGTTTGGTCCAGACTCGATTATTTACAGACCGCCGTT